ACAACGTCAAGGATGAGTTCTATGGCAGCCTTCAATCGCTTGTTAATGAAGTACCCAAACGGTATGTACTTGTCATAGCACGGGACTGGAACGCTCGAACTGGTCCACAAGCAGAGGCCACGAAGCACATCATAGGGAGGTTTGGCCTGGGCTAGTGCTGCGTGAATGACGACGGACTACTGAGCTTCGCCGATTATAATCGGCTGTGTATTACCAACACGCGGTTTCAACACCCAAATTTTGCCCATCTGAATAATTGTTTATCTTTGTTGTGAAACCGATGCGTACCGCGTGGGTGTACATGGGGATGAAGTGGTGTGTGCGAAACACATTCGTCTGGAAAACTTCCAATGTGTCCTTTGCGGCCAAAATTATGACTTCACGATCGCTTCCCAGCTACGTTCTTATGAACTGTCATTAAACTAAACTGCATGAACTTTTGTCGAAGGCACCGGTTAACCACGGCTGAGGTTGTTTGACCATTCATTATCATTACAGACGAATATAGTGAAGTGAATTACGTTGATCGCCGTGAAGCTTCCTTATGTTCACAATAAATCAAATAGAGGGAGGTGAGGTGTAGCCAAACGGGAACCATTCTAGTTGTATATAGAAGAAGCTCTTCAACCAGTTTGAACTGTCAAGAAATGACAGTAACAAAAATAGCTATGGTAGTGTTGTTGGTTTACTATCATATCCTTCATTTATGTGTAGTCCAGTGGCATTTTTCGGATCCCACCACAAGAGAGCTAATCGGCCCAATCTCTCCGTGTAGCTCTTCATTGATTTTTCGTACGCCTCTTATTGACCTGCACGGGTTTTTCTCGGCCATGGAAACAGGATGCGTTGTATAGAGAGAACCCCGATTTTGCATCTTAGCCAAACCCCCAAACGTCGCCCCAGATTTTGTTATCTGCTCTCTTCATTTAATCCTTATCGAACTACATAAAAAGTTAATCAGTGACTGACTTTTCGTTCGCACAAGCTAAACGCCTAAAAACCATAAATCAGATATATTTACACTGTCACTATATTTATGCCACCTTTCAAAAATGCTTAAATTTATTGTGTGCTACTCGAGCCATGGTTGTACATGTGGTCTTTTCTTCAATTGTCCCGTCCTCATCCACGGCACAACTGTATCGGTTGCGGGACCGACTAACCACAATCATTTCCTGACTCTCGAGTTTCAAAACATGGCTAGTCGAAACACCCGTTTGTATCGTCAGTTTACACTGAAAGGCGCAGGCCAACAGCTCATTTTAGTCTGTCGTCGAAACAGCCATGTGAAGTTGCCAGGGTACTTCAGGTCGTGTAGCTTTTCTGCAGCTACCCCTATTTCTTGTCAACATTTTGTGTATCCTTTAGAGCATTTTCTAAGTTCGCCTGTTAAAGTTAACCAGATATGGCGGCATAGGACAATCTTGCCAAGCGCTCGTACCGCTTCTGTCTTTTATTCTTGGTCGCATTCATTCACTCCGCATTTTCTCCGTATCTTCCCATCGGAAAACTTCATTGGCTTGTAGGTGCCCATAACACTGCTTACTAACAGGTCTTCGTGGATGATACGCGACTTAAAAAGCATGGTGCTGTCCAAAATTTTTTGGTTGGACTCTTCGATTTACTGAGCATTCAAAGGGATAATGCCAAACATAGTGCCAACGCTAGATGTGTTGCGGGCTATTGTACTGCTCGGTCGCCCTGTCCAGAGTAGACCTCGTTCGAGGATGCACTCGAGCCTCTGCGCAACCAAGCGCGGACTGCAAGGCAGCAGTAATCTTCCAGATGAGCCGGTGACCAGTCTTCGGTTCATTCGCCTCTTCTGGAAAACCTTGTCGAGCAATGGAGCTCGACAAGGAGCAATGGCCATATTTAGTGGCGGGCCACACTCGCCACGTCACAACGCTATCCACAGATATATGTGGTGTTTTGTGCGGAGAACCCTTGCCAGGAGTTAAACCCACCACATCCTCGAGCGCTGCCACTGATCCAGCAGGCCGAAGCCCACTTTATTCACGGTTAACCGCGAGATGGCGGCCGTTCCCCTATCCGTGACCTGGGGACGCACTCGGTAGCATACGGCTCTACTCTCCCGAGACAGTTTGTGATATCACGGTAACGATTGAAAATCCACCATTACCAATGGATACATCCATTCGAGTGCAAATCCAACAATGTGTTATTACACCGTACTTTTTCTGACTACCATTCTTGAAAGTTTATCGTGTAATTAGATAATTTTTGGAAATATTTTAAGTTAGTGGAATTTCAGAGTTTCTCTTCAAGTTGTTTGGTATCATTTTAGACTGTTGAGAATTTATCACGAATTTCCAGGATTTGTTATTGCTTGTTATCGCTAAAAAATCACGGTAGGAAAGAGTTGGTCTGGAAATCAGCCACTATGGTGTGACACATTCTTAGTCGACTTAGTTGACTATACCCCTTTACCAGTAATTATTCTTTCAAACTGCTCACACTTGAATCAATACTGCATAATCTCACAGTCACTCTGTCAGTTTCTGATAATTCCTGGACATTGAAGACCCGTATTATGTAAAAAAAAACTGATGCTCTCCGTGTCTACTTTTCTCTCATGAAATTAGGTTGATATCCCCATCGGGATAAGTTGATCGATTTTCCTTGATTCTCTTATCCCCGTGCTCCTTATTTGTCTCGCTAGCTTCCTCTCGCTTCGACCTCTCTCTCTTTCTGTAATGATGACCTTTTTGGTTCATGCGTTCCTGTTATTTTTTCGCTTGTCGTCGTCGTCCTCCTCGTAGCTCGTAGCACACAGTACAATTTATAGCTTATTCGTCGAATTTGAAGAGCACTCGGTTCTCGACTAACATTCAGAGTGACAGTTAGGTTGTCAAATCGCCAAGCCCGCTTGGTATTGTTTGTTTGTTTCCCGGGTTGTTTTCCACTAATTGGGTAGTTCATTTGCGTGAGCTAAATCGAATGGGCCTACACCGCATTTTCTAGAATCCCACCTCCACCCGTGAGAATCTTAACCCAATTTGAGGACAATCTCTCATCCGGTTTTCTCATTACGGTGTTCAGCTGACGTTGCAGGTCTCGGGGACAGAAGGAAGGCCGAGGAATGTGGTTTAGTAAAAGGTCATCAGATTGCGGGGTGTTGAAAAATTCTAGAACAACATAGATTGGTTTCACTTTGTCTGACCATTAAGGCTAGGACAGAACAATGTTCAAATGTAATAATTACCAGTCACCTTTAATATTCATGTCATTGAACTGAGGTCGGTCGCAGAAGAGGCGTCTAGTTTGTGCTTATTCTCACAAGGAAAATGTGTTGATTTCTTCCAACTACCATGGAATAGGTTTGGTTCAACTATGAATAAATAAATCAAGGCATATCAAAATGGATAGGAATGAAGGAATACATTGTGTCTGCTTTAGCCATATTTACTTCACCCCTTGGGTTTTGTCGTTCCGTTTAAATGTGCACATTATGAAAGACTACTTGTTCATTTAAAAAAGGAAGCAATTTCTGTGTGGACTTACACTCAAACCACACCCGAGCGCACTCGTAATTTGTGTTTGAGCTGTTTTTCACATTTAAAAACGTGAATCATGATAATTTTTTTCATGTGATGACTAACGGTTTTGGTTGGATGATACATTAACAGCTTTTTGTGCCGAACGATTACGAGGGTGAACCCCACAGTAGCAAGGACCTACTTGGTTTCCAGTTTTATGAATTGACAACGGAAATCATGGAACTTGGAGTGGTGAGTTGCATAGACCTCTCAAATAATAGGCGTGACATTGAACCGGGTGACAGCTTACCTGCCCACGACCAAAGTTAAGTGACCTTGGGAAAGATCGACTGGTGGTCTTAGACCGGAATACGTTAGCAGAATTCAATCGCTTGACCATCCACCGCCACCATATTTTTACGCGTCGAAGCGAAGGAAGAACTAGAAAATGAGAAATTTGAAGGTTAAATAAATCGGGATTGGTAGACCCTGAGGTATTGACTAAACCGAAGTTCTTAACGTTTCTATGCTTAACTGCAGTGAATGTCTCTGATTCCGGCCGCGTGTTTTCTGCAGTAGTTTGTTTTTAATATGCTTATTATTGCGTTAAACTTATTTGTAAAGGACAGTTTTCATGAGATAAGAACATGGATAGATGTGAGTAGATTTACCAATCTAAACTGACGTTTTTTACATGTTGCACTTCGTCCCATTTTATTTTCTAATTTTTGGTGGTCCTCATATTTTTTTATTCCCCGTTTCTGGCATTTCTGTGTCACTGAAGTTTTAAAAAGCACTACTCCAGCGGATGTAATAAACAATAGATTCGGATAGCGATACCTTCAGACCTTAAATCGGGCTCTCTGTAGCAATCCATTTTTCATAGTTTCACTTCTCGCTGCTTGCGGCCCAACTATCCCTAGAGCCTCCTATGTTAAATATTGTATCGCAATCCTGCTTGGTACATGCATGTTAAGTGTTTATTGAAGTTCATAAATTACCCGCTTGCACCCGGAAAATCTTAAACCCTCACTGCCTAATACGTGAATTTATTCCCACTTGCATTATCTCTTTTCGATGCATTGCTCTCCTGTCACCTGTTCATGTTTTCAAGATGAAATTTTTCTTCTCACTTTTTGTGCCTCAAGTTCTTGACAAGATGATGTCATAAATGTATTTTTAGTTTCCGTCTGACGTTTCGCTTAGAGAAGGCGTTACAAGATGCGCATTTCTCTGTTTCATTTATCCGTCTTATTCTGTCTCTGGAAGTTGATGACAGCCACCAACCGTTTATTTCTCCTTGTAGTTTGTTTCCAGTGCTACTAATAAGCCAATTATACAAGTGCTTCTCTGTCACCCCGTTGCGTTCCCACCGCTTCTCCACACATGCATCTGTTATGTAAACAGTGTACATTTTGCCCACGTGGTGTTTTAATTCTTTGCTTAAGGTGTGACTGTTTTGATTAACTAGCCAATTATCTACTCTCTATTTTGTTTCTTCAGTGTGGACGGCGTTCGGCACACTCTGGAAATCCTGGACACTGCCGGCACAGAGCAGTTTTCCTCTTTACGTGACTTGTACATCAAAAACGGACAATGTTTCCTAGTCGTCTACAGCCTAGTCAGTCGACAAACTTTTAGCGATATTCGCTCAATGCGAGACAATATTCTAAGAGTGAAAGGATTACCCGTTGGTGGTCCAGCAACTAAATCCAATGTGCCTTTGGTCCTGGTGGGTAATAAAGCCGATCTGGCTGGAGACGGACGTCGTGAGGTTGAACCGCACGAAGCTGAAGCACTTGCCGCTCAGTGGGCCTGTCCGCATGTGGAAACGTCTGCCAGAGATGACTCCGGCGTAAATGATGCTTTCCTTGAGGCTGTGAGACAGGTGGGTTGTTTCTTTCTATTCCTCTTTTTCGTCAGTGCAATGCACTAGTCCTTCTACATATTCCATTGATTTCCTGTCTACTTTGTTTTTCTCTTCGCTTTTTTCACAATTCAGTGTGATACACACACGCGGGTAGTAACTTCTGCAATTCCGAAGATTTATCGTTTGTTGAGATTAGTCGGTAACAGGAACTGTCCGGCTCCAATTAGTGAATTATCGAGCTTTGGTATTTGTGGCTTATTTGGCCAAATTACAACAGAACTGCTAACCCCGTTCGCACCGCGGAGTTTTCCGCGCAACGCTAATGATTGTAACCTAACCCCGAACATTAAACAAAAAAACAGTTTTCCTGTTGACTTTCATTGGCTACATGTCATTACAAGTTATTGTCTGCTGCTAACTCCGCAACAGTGAACAGGTTTACCTAGTATTGCACAAACTCGACGCTGATGCCGAACAAGTCAATCGACCCATATCGATACGATCGATATTGACCATCGTACCACGGACTCCGTTCCTTTCTAACGATCGGCCTCTTTCAAGGTTACCGTATTGCAGCTTAGATTTTAACGTGTTTTGAGATACCACTCGCATTTGTGAGTAATACGCAAAATAATGCAATTGGCGGTTTCTTTTGACGGTCAAAAATGAACAAGACCTCTTAGAACGAATTGCTGTGTTCGAACTGATAACTATGGCCTGTTCCATGCATTATCTTGTGTGCTGCCGGGAATTCTGATGACATGGCCAAAATGGGATGTCTTGTTACATATACGTCAAGTTATTCATATCCTAACTCTGGTTCGCAATAAATAACTCTCTCCTCAAGCCAGCACCGGTCTTCTGTAATTATAACAAACGGATATAGCTAAAAAGATCATACCCTATACCGTGGTAACCTCGTTCCTAAGGTTTCTCATTGAATGCAACGTTCCTCATTCCCATGAATGCACGCAGTCTAATCACTCTGATCTGTATGATCGGATTACTAGGATCTAGCATAATCACTAAAATCACATTGCAGTTCCAATAAGGTTCCGTTGTTCTTTGACTTTTATCGCCTAGGTTGTTAATTTGCTCACGGGAACGTGTTCCTTCGGTTGTCAATTATCCATTTTGACAGTTTTGCAATAGTCCTGTTGGGTATCTACCTAATTCCGCTCTCTCAGATCACTTGAATAATGGACTATAAATCACACCTCTTCACCTGAGCTTGATGTGGACGCACCAAGCGGCAGTTATGAGTTATTGTTGTTGGCTGAACGTGCTGTGGTGTGAATGTTTATGCGTGTAAATTTGTGATTTTTGCGTCCCTCACCAAACCCACATACCGCATGGTAAATAAATGGCATCATGCTTCCAAGTTCCTGAATTGTTTCTAATCCGAGCAGGAAACGAACAAGTTGGGGTGGGGATCGACGTATGAAAAGTGGTACATTGAAAGCTGTCAGTTGGCTGTAAGCAAAACTGCAGCCATCTTGATCCTGTTGCTCGCCTCAGGCCCATTCTGAAATTGCATTTTGTTCACCGGTCTAACATTGGGAAGTTCTGGCTGATAAAAATTAGCATAGCCACAAACTAGTTTAATATCGAACCGTAACCAAATTTTGACGTGCCAATGAATCACAGTTGATACAGGGAGTTTTCTTCATGGCACTATACAATGACAATAGTGGAAGTGTGATTGCATGACTAAGTGGTGGTGGTGGTCAAGCTGTTTAGGTCTCTGTCACTGGTGTGGTTCGGTCTCTAAGGCCTTGAGATTCAAACTCGGCTATCGCCACTCAACTTTTGCAGTAGTCAGCTTCCTTATCCTCCGGTTCAATACCACACCTGTGCTAATGGGGCTCTTCTGTCGCTACATCACTCGAAGTCCTGTGGCTCAAATTACCGGTTCCACGAGCGAATAGTAGTTGGTCTTGGCTATAGGGTTCGCCCCTCCTGTTGTTCATCACGCAATAGTATGTGAGTTGGTGAAAGCGCTTGCAGGCCAGTCAGCCTTCGTTAATGTACCGCTAAGGCCCCACGATTGAGAAAACTGTCTGGTGCGAGTGAGTTTGAGAAGTAGTTGTTCATTTTTGAATGCTGTACATGATCGTCTATTCTCGTTAATATGCGTTGTGAAGCGAATGGAGTCATTTGGATTACAGCCCACTCCATTCTCATAAGACTATGCTGTGTGAAAGCGCGGGGGCTATGGGGTGGGACAGCCAAATATGAAGAGTAAATTCGGCATCTGCGTTCGCTTTTGTGCTATACAAAAGACTTTCTGTTTCACCCCGGGGTCATTACATCGTGCCGAGGTTATGAAATGGCGCCTTTACAAATTAATGCTCTGGACTCAGTCATTCACTGTCGTCAATTCGACAATTATGTGAACTAATCTTTAGATCGAATTCGATCAAGATCAGAATACGGATTCGGGATAGTGCAAATTCCAAATTCGAGAGCCTGTTTAATCTATTTCATAAAACGTTGAAAACCCCGTATCGTCGTCATATTACAATGCTATCATTCCATGTCCATCCAATGTCCATAGCATCTGAAGATTGTTTTTGGACGCGGATTGCAAACACACGTCTATTGGTTTAAACCAAATAATCTCCGAATGCATATCATCTTGTTGATGTTCTAAAACGTGTATTTAATTACATATTGATCGTTCGAATCAGCTAATTTCTATACGTCCCGGACCAGTGTTCGAAGAATAGAGGAGGAAACCGTTCTGACTATAGTTCTTCGAATTATTTGGATCTTCTGACTCAACACTTCACGGGTATATGAATGAAATGAATCGTCACAATTCGCAAGCAATACTAGTCCGTGTTATAATATATCTGATCCTCTCCGACTGTTTTGGCATCCCGTGAAAACCCCTTTCGTGCCATTCGTGAACAAAGCGCGCGCACACACACGCGAAAACCTAGGATAAAGAAATTCCAACTGATTCGATTCCATTGTTGTAGAGTTGGCACTCGTTTAGTTACACACTGGTAAATTTGTTTCAATGCATGCGTGTACTGTTCGATCGAGTAGGATAGTTATTTTTTGGTTTGCTCAATTACCACGGTCTTGGATGGCTCCGATCTGCCCTTGTTGTTGCACGAGAATTAATACTCACAAATCAATAGTGGTCGAACCTGGGTTCAAAGCAATCGGTTGTTGGAATGACAGCAACGGTTTATAGTCCTAAGGGATTGATGTTTCTACACACACACGCTTCATTGCGAGTCAAGCTCTGGGTAGTTTAGTCTCTGATTGTGAATTCCTCAAGAAAATTCACCTGCTGCGGATTGCTAAATCAGACAGTATTCCTCCTATATGCAAATCATGGACGTTTAGCTTTTTCATAAAGATTATTGTAATATGGTTTGTTTGATACGGTGTAAACTGAGACGTACGATTCGATTTTGGACGATGTGTCACACCCACTCTCAGGTAGACGTGTTAATCTTGTAGGTATGCTAAATTACAATGTTAAATCTTGATTGACCCTTAAATTTGTCTTATTGTTTTTAATTCCTAATGTTGTGTACCATGAAAGATGTAAATCCATATCCACGACGTTCTAAAACGACAACCTTTATTCGGGGAACCACATATGGTTCACCGTGGNCCGTGGGATAACAGAGAAATTTTAACGCCACGATCACCATCCATTTACGTTTTTTTTTTATTTCGAAGCTTTTTAGACGCTCATTTAATGCCTTCAGTTAGTTTGTTGTTCAAACGAATCGGGGAAGTGTGCGCGTCGAACTGACCATGTGCGAAATATGCCTATTGCATTCGCACCTTGTTAATATTCGATTTTTCATTATATCCTACTTGTGGAGGGTTATTTCCCCAGGCATTTGAACTTTAATTCCTTTTGATCAAGCAGAAATATCACTCCATTCCAATCAAGTCATGACCCCTAGTGGTCACATTTTGGGACAACCAATTTCGTTACCTGCAATTAGCTTACAAAGATGTTTATTACCATAACGGGGATAGGTGAAGTGAAACAGTGATTAAGTGGGTATGTTTCCGTCCCATCTATGTAATTCCGGTTCAATCGTCAATCGGGTTGACGAGTTCGCACTCTCACTCGCATCTTACAACGCTGAAGCAGCTGTACTTTTTTGTTACACATTTTTGTGTGATGAACCACAGGACGGATAGACCCATAGTCACGGGGATCCGTTGTTCACTCACTGAAAAACCGATAACCTACGCCCCGGGACTTAGAGTGTTGAACCACATAAGGTCCCACTAACATAGGTGGAGTATAGATCCGTGCAACAACAAAGCCGTCTAAAATCACTGTACTTTCCTGCTTTTTGGCACCCGTTTCCTACGTTATGAAGGCGAAAACATTCCCTCTCCTGTTAAATTCTTCATCGTTCCGGTCGACAAAATGCAAATGGTCTCACAATCAGTAGTTCAATGTGAAAATGCATACGAACAGCACCCAGACATACATTATCGTGAGAATGCATCAAGTTCCATTAAAGGTCGTTTGATTGTCTCATTCATCCACCACTGCATTGTCCACATCCGCATAACAAATGATAATGTCTCCAGGTTTGTAAATGTTTTCCTACCATCAACATTTAAGCTATTCTGAACAGTCTCCCTGGAAAGTTGTATTAGACGAAGTGCTTCAACCCATGTTCTACCGATAGAACGCTAAACCTTGAAATATTCTATTTCCGTCATACATAACTTTGAACAACCATCGCTCCTCATGCATTCATCCTCATTTCGTGACCACATTTCCAGTGCTAGTTGTTTAAGCTAGTATCCATTTGAAATACATCTGCCTCTGACGGTTATCAAGTTACTAAAAACGCAGTCGGTTACCAATCGATCGATAAATCATTTTAATCTGTTAGTCTGACAACCTAGATTGTTTACTTTGTCCAGTGCATGCCTGTTAGGAAAACCATGGTAAACGCGCTCCTTTCTGTTCCCTCAAATCGTCCGTCCGACTGCTTCAGGATTATTCAGTTGAGTGAATTTCATAACACTGTCCCAGTGAGGTCGGACAAATTCAATCATGCCAAAGGTGAAATACTCACAGAGGTTTGGCCAATCACCACCACCCCGCTCCCTCTCCTCGATCACAGCATGGCTGATCACAAAATGGTTTCTTTTTCTCACTTGACTTCAAAACCCAGACTTCGTCTACTGCAGTGATTTATTTTTATTGTAACACCGAAACAGGACCTCAGGTCTATGTATTGGCTACATGTGCTACGTGCACTTAATTTGTTTCTTTCAAATTCACTGTTTATGATTGTTCAGTTTCTGCATGAAAATTGTTTCTGCCCACGTACATCAACAACAGACTGTCATGGCAAACAAAACTATAACCGGTTTTCGGTCATTGTGGAAGTGTCATGGATACTGGAAGAAATTTGATAAACCTTTTGATGTATGAAACAATCGTTGGTCCCGCACGAATCATTCGTCTCAGATCGCTGCCAATCGTGACTGTCTATCAGTGGAACGATACATTCATTTGGTAGACACTCTAGAAACTAGAAAATATTTTTGAGGATCTCTTTTACAAGGACCTGCGGAAATATCACGCATTCGAATGCCAATCAGAGAGGTGAATGAAAGTTAAATCTAGGAAATTTGTCCCCACTTCTTTACTTTACGTCGCAAGAATNCAAGTGCATCTCCGACTTTTGTATATGAACCCTGTTGTCAAGTCCTTGATGATCGTCACGACGGCATGGAAAACTCAGGAAATGTTAGCAAAAGTCAGTAGAGACCGCGAATCATTTTCGTAGTCATTTGAAGCGCAGCCGGTACCGTTAGTTAAATATGATTTTGCAATCTCATCGATATCTGTGTTCACTCGCAAGCAGCTTCTCTAGAGCTGAGATGAGACTAGAAGCGTCATTAATTACAGTTTGTCTTTTTCTTGATCTGCTCATTGTCTTTTTAACTGCCGTAATTAAACGATTTTCCCATTCTACATCTTAAGGTCTTTTAACCTGGGCTGCACTATGAGATTTATGCTAGTTTGGCTCACCGTTAAAGAAGTCCTTCTGTTGTCCAGCAAGTGGCACTTAGCTGGGTGCTGGTTAGAGTTTCTTTCTTCAATAAAGAGACCGGATGATTCACTAGGCCGAAAACACCGCATAATAGAGATTTCAACTGCATCGTTTGCACTTCTTCCGGTAAAACTGTGTCAAACGGCGAACCACAATCACAACTCACAGGCCCATCCACATACCCTCCCGAATCGTCCGTGCACCTGGTGGAAACCCGATCGCTTTGGTTTGACCTTTCGCTTTACGTGACAAGCAACGTACAACTATCATTGTAAAATGAACCTACTGGACGGTAGCAAAGCTCATTTGATTTGATCGATCACGTTAGGTTTGAGTTTTCGGGGCACATGCAAAGAGTTCAAGCGTGCCACCGGATGCACAACCGATTTGGAAGGATGTGTAAATGCACCTGTGATCGTGATTTACCATTTGGTACGAATTCATCCGATAAAAGTGCAAATGAGTCGCAGTTTCCAGTTTAGTGAATCCCCAAGATTGTTCGTGGTCGGTCCCTTGAGGCAGACTTATCCTCACGTAATTAAACGTTGCTAAGATAGAGGGTAACTACCCTCTTATGGTTAGCTAGTCAACCGGACCGTCGCTCAGAATCGAGGTACAAATCACGCGAACGAAATTTAACGACTTTGAAGCCACACGTGCTTTGTGAGAAAGCACCAGCGCAATAAGCTTAACGCTTGCCATCGAAACCATCACCTTCGCCTCTTATTATGAAAATAAGGAAATGAGAAATGGTGAGAATATTCATTTTGATAGTGGACACCGTAGAGGAAAATGAAGATTTAAATAAGTACGGTTTTTTCTCAAATCAACCTTAAATCATGACTAACGAATTCCGTTCAAAACGATCACGAAAGGGACCTATTGGCAAAAATCACTTGTTTGATAAACAACCTAATCTAATTCCACTCTGTAAATATTTTTATACGTCTGATTGGGACAAATCTTGGCGTCCGTTTTTGCGCCTGATACCCTTTCGTGGATGACCTAACAGACAAATGAGTGAATCTCCGAGAGAGCGAGAGACTGTGTCGTGAGGACCACATTTCCCAGCGCTTTCACTCTACAGCGGTTGTGGTCATACGGTTTTAGTCACTGCCACTCAAGTTCTCTGGGGTTTAGGGTTTGAGGTCTGAACTGTGCCACCGCCAACAGGCATTTACCATGACATACGTAAGCCGCGTCATTTTCAACGTACTCAGTACCTCGCTTTTCCTGTCAGGTCCCAGTGTTTATATGCCGGCTTTCATGCGTTCTCTCTGATGATCATTGCTCAGTGATGTGTAATCAATAAAACGTTCCGAGAACATGTTCTTATTTCGTCCACGAATAGATGTTCATAAAAATGATCCGCTGTTTAATTCCAAATTACGTACCAAACTTTGTTGCAACTGTCCTCCATTATTTTTATTGTCTGTGGTCTAATAAAATCCGAGGGAATATTCTGACACTTTATATCACTCATCCGAATGGACTCTCTGCACCAATAATTAGAACCAATTAATCAATCCTCCGATGGATTTTATCTGATAAAATTATGATCCACCAAATAAAAACGAGGGTTGTGTAATTTTTTCCTGTTTTGTGTGTGTGTGTGTTTACTCGTGCGTACAAAACTATGGTGACATAAAATCAACTGATCAATA